AAATCCTTCAGTGGACATGTATTTCACTCAATCTTAACGCTCTTGAGCTGCTGTGAGAGATTCTGTAGAGACGAGCTGAGCAACACTCCCTATTAAAGACCAGGGCATTCAAGGAGGTCGTCCTCCAGGAGTTCAACAGCACAGATGTGAAAATTTGTCATGAACTTGTAACTCAGTGCCAAGAAAGGTCAGAGCAGTATACTTTAAGTTCTGGAGGACATACTAATTACTAGAATATTATACATTTTCTGAATTAAATCTAGGGTGTACTCACTATATATACTTAATATATATTATATATATATATATACAGCATATATTATTTAAAGTAAATCAAAAATCTAAACAAAATAAATAAAAAGTAAATCAAAAGCATGCTGAGAATGTGCTTTGCAATTAAATATTTCATGGTAAAATTAATCAATTTCAATGCATCTTTGCAACAGCCATATACATTCAGACCAATGTATTGGGCCAGTGTGTTGCATCTTTGCTGTTTCACCGTGAGCGTAGTGTCTTTGAGACAGCGTGTCAAGTTAAAAATAGTCCAAACCTTCAAAACCCCTGCAATCTGTTCCATTCTGTCACTGTTTAGCTGTTTTTGAACCCAAGAGCGCACCTTATGTCAGTGTCCCCTAAAAAACTGCATCTAATCAGGTCATCAAACCTAAACTTAAAAATGAACCTAAAACCAGAATAATTATTCAAACCATCCTTGTGGCTAGTTAATCGGCTAGCTGTTCAGACAATTCAGCAAAAATAAGTAGTTTCACACACCCCAACCTATTGCCTGCATACTGTCTTAATTGTCAATTTTTCGAAATTGAGATTTATACATCATCTGAAAGCTAAATAAATAAGCTTTGTTAGGATAGGACAATATTTGGCCGAGATACAACTATTTGAAAATCTGGAATCTGAGGGTGCAAAAAAATCTAAATATTGAGAGAATCACCTTTAAAGTTGTCCAAATGAAGTTCTTAACAATGCATATTACTAATCAAAAATTACGTTTTGATATATTTATGGTAGGAAATTTACAAAGTATCTTCATGGAACATGATCTTTACTTAATATTCTAAGGATATTTGGCATAAAAGAAAAATCGATAATTTTGACCCATACAATGTATTTTTGGCTATTGCTACAAACATACCCCAGCGACTTAAGACTGGTTTTGTTGTCCAGGGTCACATATGAAGACCTTGATTGTTAAAGCTGTGTGCTGCACAAAATGTACAGATGAAACATGGTACTCACAATTCTGTTTTGTGGCTGGAGCATCTCGCCAGAGGGATCTTCATCACTTTGTCATTCAGGCCCACAAAAAGAGTCCTGTCGCCATGGAGAATCTGAAGGCTCAGGATTGGCTCGCGCAGACCAGGAGGGAAGAGCTGCATCTCCTCCAAGTAGCAACCTTGCAGGCTCTTATTTGTGGTTGCCAGGGCCTTAAGAATAGTTCCATACTCTAATAAGTCAGAACAGAAGGCAAAGCATAATTACACAAGGCTGCATAACTAATGCTAACTAATACTATTTCTATAAGGATTTGGTGGTAAACTTTTTGCAGACATACGACTTACAAGGCTTTTGTGCAAAGGAAAAATACAAAGCTGAAGTGACTAAGTCTGACTTTGGCTCGTTACCTGTGCCTATGTACATGACGTGGTGCAAAGTATCCTGCCCCTGTACAATGTCAACAACCAACTTAGAGAACCGCACATCATCCTGCCAAACCAGCGGGTCCACAGAAACAGGCTGAACCACGTCATTCATGAGGTAGAGCCGCTGGGCGTCCTGCAGACTGCGTTCAGTTAGTCCTTCATTAGGCCCTTCTTCCTCTATGGTCCCACACTGTTAAGTGTCATTAGGGTTAGACTCATTAGTTAGTGTAGAGGTCAAGCAGGGCATTGCAAATATAAACTAGCAAAAAACCTTTCCAAAAAATGCAAACTTCTCACCATGTCATTTTATAGGAAAGTAGACAATAACTGTGAATTACGATGCATGCAAGTACACCCAGCTGGTCTTGAGCAATTACTCTCACAGTGCCAGGCTAATAGAACTTATCTACTGGCTGTTTGTTTCAGACACACACACACAGAGAACAAAATGTAAAAGACATTCAGGGGGAATGATGCACCTGGAAGTTAGGGATGGGGTTTGGGGTAGGCAGCCACGTGGAGCGAGGGTTCTCCTGGGAGCGAAAGGGCCCGTTGAAAGCCTGCGTGATAGCGCTGAGGTTGTATGCACAAACTGCAGAGGCTGCAATGCTGTTCCTGGATCACAAGAAAGAAAGAAAGATGATTAAAATTTTGGTACCAAGAAAACATGCAATATGAATCTACATCTGTCTATAAACATGCAATATCAATATATGGTCTTTTGTATATGGAATATAAATGGTATATTATACAATTTTAAATATATTCAAAATGTTCAGTTCATTGGTTCTTTAATATTGGGTCTGCAGATAAATTCCATTTAACTTAAAACCCATTACAGAGAATATTATACTTACATGTAATATATAGTAGATTATACTGTATATTAATACATTATTATATATTATATTATTTTACAATATAATAAAATAAAATGTTTATAAAAATAAAATGTCTTTTTATAAAAGAGATTTTATATATTTTATAAACATTTTTAAAGGGGTGGTTCACTGGTTTTTTTCTAGGCTTGATTGTTTATGGGGTGCAGTCTAACATGTGTTAATGCTTCGTTTTTAAAAAAACAAATTATTTTTCATAATTTACCTTTATTCCACACCGCTCTGTCCCTTCTCTGAGAAACGGGCTGATCTTTTCCTGTTTTTATGAAGCCCCGCCCTCAGAAATAGGCGATGGGCTCTGATTAGTTAGCTAGCCCAGTGTGTTGTGATTGGCTAAACCTCCTCTAGTGTGCGTCTAAAAGTCCCGCCCCTCACCTCAGCGGCATGTGCTCCAGTTGTATTGTAAACAACGGTGTCGTTAATATTGCTTATCAGTTTGAGCCCGATTGAGAAGCAGAGGACATTATTGAAGAGGATTGCGCAGAACCTGTGCAAGCACAGCTTTTAATGGTAGGCCTATGTTTTTTGTTTATTGTAGTCTCATACTTTTTGATATGCTGTTATTTGTAAATGCTACTGCTTATGTTAGCTTTTAATTTACGGTTTTATCCTGATTAAAGCTTTAATACAGTACAGCAACCACATGCGCGTCCATGTTTAATGCTTCTCATAGCTATGTGAAAATAAGTGTATAATTGGAACAGTTCATTGTTGGAGCTGAGCTGAATGAGAGAGAGAGAGAGAGAGAGAGACAGAGCGTGTGCAGAGCAGGGGGACGTGAGGAACAGTATTAAGAACCGCTGCTTTAGAACATTGATTTTGAAACTTGTGAATCCATTAGAATCGTTAGAAGACAGAATCACGATTCATATATGAATAGATTTTACTTGCACCTCTAGTTTTCTCTTCCTCTTCTCTAAAGCAGCGCAGCTCCCCTTTGCTGACTTTTCCCGAGGGCGGGATTTATCTGGGTTTGTGACATCACGAACCCGGGAAGTAGATTGTTGTAGTCCCTACCAGCCGTTTTTGTAGGCATTAAACTGCCAGAATTTTAAAAGACGATATCTCCGTTTGCATTGAACTTTCAGCTTCGTAACTTTGCAGATATTATGCTCAAACAGCAACATTACACAATAACTAACATTAAAAAAGTGAAATCGCAATGAACCACCCCTTTAATTTTGTTCTATAATCTAACAATTATTTTGTCAAAAAGCAAAAAATAAAACAATTAAAAATCATCAAACAGACAAAAAAAGTATCAGTACCGTCGTAAAAAGAATTGTTGATCTCTAAAATAATATGGCGGCATGTAATTTCCCACACACAGCATACAGCTGTTAGACCTCTACACTCCATGGCCTCAAGGCTGCACAGACAGTTATACAAATCTAGAATCTTGAGACAAACATAAAAGTTCATAATCGGTTCAGCCAGGCAGATCTTGCCAGCTTCTTCTGGCATGAAACATTCTCAAAAGCATCGTGACTTAATTAACTCCATCGATTTGAGTGACAGGTGGCCCAGAGATCCAAGTAAGCTGTCAGGAGCAGAGATGAGCTCTGCAGTGAATGAATTGGGTGGTTATTCTTGTTACCAGACTCGCATTCAATTTTGTATAGATGACAGTGCAGTTTCAGAAGCTGTTGAAGTGACAAAGAAAGGACAGAGTTTTGTCTTGTTACCCTGAGAAATGTCCCCAGAGCTTTCAGTATGTCCATAGCCAGACTTAGAGGCCCTCAGGGACCAGAGCCAAATATATATACACATTTTTATTTATATTTTTTATTTATATTTTTATTCATTTATATAATAAACAAAAATAATTTATAATATTGACAATATTTTTAATATTTATACAAATTGAAAATTATGTACAGTTTAAAGGTGCATTAGGTGATTGTCTTCAGAAATATTTTTTGTTATGCTGGTTGAAAGTCTCTTCACATCCCGATAGCAATCATTAAGTTAAGTGGTCTAAATGTATTTACATGTATTTATACCAGAGAGGCTAAAGTTAGCATTTTCCAAGATGTCCTACTGCACCTTTAATTATCATGAAAAGTAGCTAGATTTTGAAGGCATTTATATGGGGAAATATCTTTTTTATTAATGTACAAGAAGAGGAACAAGGGATTTGCCAAAGTTTTGCAGGTTATTATTAATATTTAATTTTATATTGTAATATACTATTGTAAATGCGTTCACTTTCATATAAATATACAATAAAAATAATGGAAAAAAAATACTCATTGACAAAAAAGTTAATTTTGAACCAAGTATACACTGCATTACTGTTTATACTTACAACATTATAAGTATGACAAGCAGCTGGTGTTAAAGGTCACCTACACTAACAAAGTCTATTGACATGCTATGTATAGCCCTCACTATTGGAAGTTCAAGTCTTCCATCTGTGTCAGCAGGTGACTATGAAGGTTACAGTAGATTTTATACTGTAGCTATTTAGATGTCACAGGTTACACACGTGCAAGAAAAATAGCATGGGATCCTTTGAGGTCAACAGTGAGGATCACTCAAAATGGGAAGTTATTCTTGTTATCAAATTTATTGTTGTGTGCTGTAACTGTTGAGACCGCACATAAATGAGCAGCAATAACTGTGGCGGTAACACTGGAGCCACAGACAGATGGGAACACGGGCAGAGCTCCAGGAGGGGGACTCGGCCTGCCAGACGCTGGTGTCTGGCTCAGGCTCTTGTTATGTGGCCTGGTGAGGCATGGACTTGAAGATGATTCAAGCCTGGTTCTGCAGCTCGACTCTGGTGACTACATATGAGGGGTTCAACATGGAAAGTTAGCGTGGTAAAATGAGAGGCTCTTGGCAGTGCTGCTCAGAAGGCTGGTGCGCAGATGAAACATGGGCTCTAATCCGGTCAGCCCTAGGCTGCGAGGACAGAGCAGGCTCTGACAGGACAGCCAATTATCTCAAGCTATTTCTCCTCTTTCACTCTAGCATTCAAAAGCAAGACTCTGAAACTTTATGAAAGACTACAAGGTTTTTGCTTTTTTGAGATTTTACCTCTATAGAGACAAGAAACAGCTAGAGAGCTGCTTCCCTGCTGACTGTCTATATATCTTCTTCACACAGCAGCAGAATACAGTTGCCAGTCCTGCTATAGACTTCTAAATACAGTTACATTTACAAAAGTGTAATTATAAATAAAAGTGACACCACATTCTATAACCAAACTTCATACAGTTCACATCATACAGTTCAAATTTCATACAATCACATCATACAGTGCAATATGCCCATCATACAGAGCAATATTCCGAAGGTTTTAGATCCAGTTGCTTACTCTTTCTTATTCAGTCACTGTAGTTAAGGCCAGTTCACACCAAGGATGATAACTATAATAATGACAAAAAAGTTTAAATAATCATAGAGTCAACTTCACCCATCATTCCAATTCAATTAACAATTTATCTTCTCATTGGATGTGACTAATTCAATTCAAATTCATACTCTCAAATTAAAAGTGAGCCAAATCTGCTTCAATTCTGAATTTTACAAAACACTTGTGACTTTGGTAATTTGGACATATTCATTCCTGTAAACTGCTGTAGAGTTGGTACAGGATTAGTAGGATTTAGGAACTCGTGTTAAGTAAATACAGTTGAGGTCAGAATTATTAGCCCCCTTGATAAATATGAGCAAAGAAGTCTGTGAAAATAAATGTGCATGGTTTATGCTTTTGATCTTTCATTAAAAAGTTCATAAAAATCTAACCTTTCATTGAAGTAAAACAATTGAAATTGGTGGGGAAAATCACATTATGAAATAAATGTTTTTCTCCAATACAGGTTGGCCACAATTATTAGCACCGCTAGAAATTCATATGAATAAAATATCTATGAAGCATATTCCCATTTGCATTTTTTAGCACACCAGGGTGACAATGATCATGAAACTGTCCAGCCATGACTTCCTGGAGTATAAATTTCCTTTCACAGGAGTATAAAAATAATTGTGTTATGAGGTAACACAAAGGCCAGATTTCCTTAATCATCCATAACAATGAGTAAAATCAAAGAATATAGTTCTTATGTGTAGTAAAAGATTGTTCAGGTTCACACATTAGAAAGTAGCTGTAAGAAAATAGCTAAAGCATTCCCACTTCCTCCATCAGGGCAATAATTAAGACGTTCCAATCAACTGGAGATGTTACAAATCAACCTGGAAGAGGACATGTGCCTATATCATCCTAATGCACGGTGAAGAGGAGAGTTTGAGAGGCCAAAGACTACACAAGGATAACAACTGGAAAACTTCAGAAATTACTCGAGTATTGTGGTGAGAAAGCCTCTAAATAAATAGAAATCAAACAGCACCTATATCACCATAGGTTGTTTGGGAGGGTTTCAAGAAAAAAATCTTCGGTTCTAAATCAAAAACAACTCCAGCATATTCAGTTGCCAGACATTACTGGGACTTCAAACTGGACCAGGTTCTATGGTGAAACAAAAAAAAGAGCTTTTTGGCACACATGGGGATACACAGGAATAAAAAGTACCCCATGCCCACGGTTAAATATATTACTGGATATTTAATATTGTGAACCTTTTTTTTCCCCCAGAGGTCCAGAATGTCTTGTTCAGATACATGGCATCATGGATTTTATCAAATACCAACAAATGACTAAACCTGGGCTAATATTTCTGACCTTAACTGTACTGTATGTTGTCAAGGTGT